TTATATACAAGCTTGTAATATCTTGTTTCGATGAACTCTTATCATGGTACATCAGTGTACCAAGTTTCATTGTTTGTGGACCAACCATTAGCAAGTTAGAGGCACAGACACCATTTACAAGTTTTTATTGCCTGAGGCTGTTTACAAACTTATAGTTTCTGTTTCGATGAACTCTCATCATGGTACATCAGTGTACCAAGGTTCATTGTTAGAGGACCCACCATAAGCAAGTTATAGGCACAAACACATTTTACAAGTTTTTATTGCCTGAGGCTGTTTGTTGTTGTTTACAAACTTGTAATGTTTACATTTTGATACTAATGATGGGTTGTATATGTGTACAAAATTTTATCACTCTGGGTCTTAGCTTTACCAGTTAGCACACTTTATTTGTCTCTATAATAATGTATTGCCTGGGGCTATTTGTTGTTGTTTACATGTAAACAAAATTGTTTACGAAGAAATAAAAATGCTCTTGCACAACCTGTCATGGATTCCAATCTCTGTGCAAAGTTTGATCTCCATATCTTACCTGGTTTTTGAGATACGCTTGTTGAAACTGAACAACAACAACAACAACAACAAGAAAATAGAAAAGTGACTTTTTGGCAAGTACCAATTATGCGATTTAAGCTATTTCTTGGATACGCGCTCTTTGTGACGATACAAATTAGTCTGATGTGTCAAAAGTTGGATCTGATTGAAGTAGAAAGTGAAACATGAAAATCTCAAATGTATGGGCATAATGCAGGTCAACCTGTCATCCCTATATACTAAGTACTACCGTACTTAGTGATAGCTGAGCAGGTGTCGTCGAGTTAACGCTCGATCACACTGGTATGCAGAGGATGGTGTCTTTTGAAGACCATTTCTCTGCCGAAGATGAGGAACTTTTAGTATGTTGCTTACAGTGAGAAAGTGTGCATTAAATAGGAATTGTCGTTCTACAGTGTGTGTACCGCAAAAGTGTCTGGCTAGAAACGTAAGATGCGTGAAGTGTCTCCCTGTGCCATCTGTAGGCAGGGATCATGTGCTGTATGTCTCCCTGACCGGCGAGTGCGGTCTTGAGGCAGGGACCATGTGCTATGTGTGTGTATGTCTCCCTGACCGGCGATCAGCCATCTGTGTGGTCTTGTAGGCAGGGATCACGTGCTGTGTGTTTATAACCGGCGATCAGCCATCTGTGTGGTATTGATCATGTGCTATGTGTGTGCATGTAGGAAAAAAACCATGTGATGCCAAGAGAAAAAGATGCAGAGCTCTGGACAGGTGTTTCGGGCTTGTTGGCCCTCATCAGCAGAGCATACCACAACTTCTCTCTCTGGCATCACGAGTTTATAAAGGCTGACATGAGCGCAGCACTTGTGGTTCTGAACTAATGAGATTCATCCCTGGTATGTGCTGCTGACCATGCCCAGACATTTGTGGTTTGGAGCCTAGGCCCCTCCCCACTCCTGGTCAAGGTCAGAACCGAGCCAAAACTCTAATTCAAAATACAGGACCACACAGATGGCTGATTGCCGGTCAGGGAGACATGCTTGCCCGAGTTCTTTCTTCTTTTTGCGGCATTGTAGTTCTGCATTCAATGACTGTTCATGCATGAGTTGTAAGTGAGTGGAAGTACTTTCCAAACATCTTGCGTTTATAGATCACTTTAGGGTTGTAGAATAGTAGCACACACATTCTTCCGTGTAAAAATGGAGACGTAGAACAGATGTAGATGAGCGTGAATGCACATCACTATACAGAATTTCGCAGATCTCTACCAGTGTATCGATTAGGCGTATGAGATTTTCGTCAGCTTTGTTGTCATGCAGAGTTTTGCAGAGCAGCACAGCAGCTTTGCGGTAGTCAATACAGCGCAGCGTGTCTTTGCTAAGTAGAGATGAATTCATCTTCTGTATTTCAGAACCAACTATAGCTGTCACATGTTTTGGTATTTCTTCGAATCTCGCACGATAACTCTGCTCATGCGCGTAATTATTTAGCCGTACAGCTTTGTTGCTCGTTTAATGTGCAATGAGTTCTTACAGGGCGTTATTCAACTGATAATGAGGATCTTAATGTGTAGAAGAGGGCTAGATATCTGTGAATCTAACTGGCTCTTAGTACTTCCTTGTACAAACAGGAGTATTTCCTAAACTTTCCACAATAAATTGAGTCTATTACACACGAAGCTGTCTGGTTTCCACTAACCGAGAAGAATAAGAACAAAAGCCAGTTAGAACCAACAAGAGTTCCACAATTTCAGAAGCACTCAGCAATGTTTAGTGTGCTTAGAACATCAAATGCTAATGTCATCAGGCATAGTAAAGAACATGTTGCCATTGCAACAAAAAACATGTTGAAAGTGAAGAGGAAGTATTACCCCCATTGAAAAATTTTACTTTACTTGTAATCTGTCCTAAAATACTTCGTAACATTTGGTGACCCGTGCCTTAATGTGCCTGAGAGGGCTTTGCGACTGAGATACGTAGAGTGAGCTCACATACAAAAGACTATGAACTTTGCTTTCAAAAGTATGTTATCTTGCCTTGGAGTTGAAGAGGGCCAAATGTTTTGGTCGCTGTTCCGAACATATTGTGGTAGTTATTATGGGTTCTTGAATCCATCCACCTTATTGTTTTATGGTCAAATTTCTTCTCCCAACAAAGAAAGAGATGAATATCTGTCAAGCATAAGCCATTAATTCAGCAGTGTGGACTTGCTCAGGGAATGAGACTAGCACGTAACTCTTCATCATATTATACAGATATTAATAGGAATATATTCTGTGATGTGGAGTACTCCCTGTCTGAGACAGAAGCCAGAAAATGAGGGGGGCCTCTCTTTTAGAGGAGAGTGAGGGTACGTGTGTGCATAGTTTGGGCAATATTTATTAGTACTTTTGAACCACCAACCCTTTGTATATCACCCTTGGAGTTTGCAAGGGTGTTCGGAATTTGTGCACTTCGTGTGAACAAGTAGTTTACAAGCATTCTGTGGGGAACTGATGAACACCAAGCATGTGCAACAGTGTACAAGATTGTACACCTATTTTGCTTGTGAACAAGGCATGTGTGTATGCATTCATGAACACACTGCCCCCCGTCTCGCCTCCCTGTTACTCAGAGCACAACCAACGTATACTAAAAGCATCCTTGGCAGAGGCTGAGGCTAGCCAGAAGGCTGCAGCATCACAGTTGCACAAACTGCAGAGGGCGAGGTAATCGATGTTGATGTCACATGTGACGGCACATGGTCAAAGAGAGGCAATATACGGTGTAGTGGTTATCGATGTAGTGGTTATCGATACCGAGGGTGCAGAGTGTGGGCACTATGAGAACATGAGCAAAGAGTCAGAAAAATGGTGGGAGGGGCACAGAGACAACTGTGATGTGAACTACCATGGGTCATCCCCTGCAATGGAGGCAACAGGGGCTATCAGGATTTGGCAACGGTCTGTGGAGAAACACAATCTCCGCTACACTGTTGTCATATCAGATGGCGATTCAAAAACGATCAAGCACTTGAATGACAACAGACCGTATGGAGAAATAGCACATACAAAAGCACCTGGGGACGCAACTTATGATAATAATAATAATACTCAGGTGGCTGCCATAGCACTAGGGCCATAGACCACGCACCCAGAGCTATGGGGCGGAACCGTTAACACGAACATACACATATGAACATGCAGGTGTCTGTCTCACTCCCGACACCTCAACTCACCCCTTCCACAGCGACACCCTGCAGCTCCCCAGACACAATCTGAGATTGGGTTTGTTGTACTGGGGACTATCGCCGTATCAAACCTAACCTTTCTTAGCTCCCAAACATCCAAAATAAATCTTTAACAAGGCCAAGCAAAGAGACCAAAATTATCCGTCCCACAGTTCACTACCCATATAAGATGCTTTCCTGAAACTTCAGCGCTGAAATGTCAAACCCATCATATTTACACGTCTCTCTGACCACGCACTGCTAGAAAAGTGTCTCCTCGGGGCTACGCAAAATCAAAATGAAAGTTTTAACAATCTGGTGTGCCCTAAGACCGAGTTTTGCTCAGTCCAGATAGGTGTCAACTTCGCAATTTTAACTTTAACGATGGTATGATAGCCATGGAACCTCTTCTGGATCGACTCGGTGCAAAACGTGCGACGGCCAATACAGCCTTCCTAATGTCTGGGGACAGGAAACGTGTTCTAAGGGCAGAGGAGGAGACATCATGAGAGCTAAGAAAAGCTGTGCTAAAACTCTTTTGATACCAGTAAGCAACTCAAGAAAGTACATACTGGACTAAGATTTTACTTATTCATAACGTATGGCCTTAACTTATAGCGGACGACGCGCGCATGCGCGAATATTATTGCGTTTTTTCTGCGTGTATATAGTGGGGAAGGAGTTTGTTACCTCATAGCTAGCAGAGAGACTTGTTGCAGATGCAGTGGTGCTGGGACAGTACCAAAAGTAAATACGTGCATGAATGTGTTTCGCTGCGTAAAGCGGCCCGTTTTGAAGACTAAAGTTTTGACCCCTGACCTTTTTTTTAGGAGCAGCTGGCTCACAAAATATAGTACATAACCAGTTGAGAAAAGGCTCTATGGACAGACTGCAGGCAAAACAGCAGCGATACGGGAGCGTGTGTGAGAGAAAATACACTATTGCGATGTAGTGCGATCGATAGTGTGTGTTTCTGCGGTGCACAGCTCTCTAGTAGAGGTCATATTTCGACATCTAGGCTTAGCACAGTCATACAAGAGTACTTGCACGTGTCCTAAATATCTATACCTACACTACTCTGTCGAGTTTACTCTTTTGCAGTACCTGGAAGTCAGTTCGAGCATGAAAGCGCTCAACTACAGTCACAAATGCTCGTAATTAGCCTTCTTTTCCTAGCCTTTTCAATCGTAAATAGCGTTAGTTAAAGTCTTTGTATCACTATACCAGATGTATAAGATCGTGTTTGTTGCGTGTATGCACATACAAGGGGGATCTGTCCCAAAAGATGGCTTTTGAATGAGTGACATTGATGACATTGGCGTGGTTGAAGGCACTATTCCAGAGGAGCAAGTGGCAGAGAGGAAATTGACTGCCGTTTCCGTTGCAGGAGTGAAATACTTTGAAACATTTCAAGGTTGCTACTCCTGCTCAGGAAGTTTCTGAAGCCTCATCCAATGTTGGAAGATGCAATCGATGTGGGGCTATGCAGCGTCTCGACCAATGTAAGCAGCTGACATATGCACGGCTGGATCTTATCACTGGAACAGAATCCCACGTCCAAGGTGTAATGGCCTTCTCAGAAGTTCTCGAGGAGATATGTCAAGGAACTCCTACAGTGGAGAAGCTGTTGGTTTGTGAAGATTTTGATGCTACTGTGTCAAAGAAAGATGTGATTGTAAAGATGTAACAAGATATGATGTACTGTGCATACATCAAAACATTATAGTAAAAATATTACTTTTGCGCAAGCTACAAGAAGTGAAATTTCGTGCCGTTAGCATCAATACTATAAACTGAAGGTCATAGGCAACACCACACGGTTAGCATCTGACACCAGGGGGAGGGACCCTTGATTGTGGAGACTGCTATTATGCGCATAAATGCAGCGGCCGCGGACGTCGTAGCATGCGGCAGGTGCAAACTTCGTACTGCGTGCTTGTGCCATGAGACTGATGAGTGTGGAGACGGATGTAGTAGAGATGTAGAGCTGCAGAAAGCACGAGAAATACTGGTGAGTGAAGAAAAAACAAAGTACTGATAGAGGGAGTGAAGGAAGAAAGTACAAGAAAGACAGACAGAGCAGGCAGGATACAATAGCTGGGGACGGTAGAAGCCATAATGTGCACAAAGAGATTTCACGGTCCCGCAAGAGAGAGTGATTGCAGCCTCTTGTCTTCGTCGTTTCTCTCCTTTAGACGAGAACTATTGGAGAGGCAGGAGAGCCGTTGGAAGGAAAATGGTGGAAGAGGCAACAAATGTTAGGCCTGTGGAGAACTTCTCTTGCCAACATCGATGACCACCTTGTCCAGGGTGAGACCTTGAGACTTGTGCATGGTGACTGCCCATGGCAGGTTGGAGACGTGAGCATGAGCCTCCTGAGGAGGACCAGCAGCGGCGAAGAGGAGTGATGGTAACAGTACCGTCAGGGAAGGTGGGGCCGGAGTAGCGAACCAAAGTGAAACTAAAGTGAACCATGACAGCGATGGGGAGGTTTGGTGGTCCTCCAATTCTGTAGCAGATGGCCTGGACCGTTCCCATTGCTCCGTTGACGAGGCCGACGTCAACCTAAAGGTTGCTGGTGAGCATCACACGGGGTGAATTGGCGAGGCAGACGACTACCTCCAGTCTTCCTCCCCACCATTGACATCTCATCGATGATCAGGTACTTGACTTGCGAGAAGGCCTGCTGGAGTTTGGTGAGTTTCTCTCCCTCCATGTCTTTGAACTCTCCTCTGGTGGGCAGACGGAGGAGGGAGTGGAGGATGCGGCCATCAATGTTGATGGCAGCCACACCAGTTGGAGCTGCAACCATGACCTGATGCTGCTGGAGAGGTCGGAGACAGTGGATTAAATAGGACTTCCCTGTGCCAGCTGTGCCAGAGACTATCATCGTCAGCGGCTGAGGACTGTTGGCTGAGTGATGCTGTATATACCTGCAGCTGCTCTCCCTGTAGGTTGGCTGGGTTAGCTGTTGAAGACATGTTTTCCAGCTGCCTGTCTCTGCTGAGCGATGAATGACGGGGCTTCATCAATGTTGGGGTATGACTGTGCAGCAAGGGTCCAGTCAACGTCCTCCTGGGTGTCCATGCTGGGCTTCATGTCAGCAGATCAGCATCCACTCCTCTGTCACTTGTCATGATTGTCGTGCAGAGGTTTGGTCTTCCTGTTGCTCCTAAAAAACGAATAACGAATATGACATAATAGGTGCTATAAGGAGTATTTAACCTCTGTTTCCTCAGTGTCATCCTCATTGCTTTGCAATAGTTGCAGGAGACGATACATATCATCCTCAAGACAGGGAGGGATCTGGTCAGACCGCAGGAATGCAGCATAGGCATCAATGAAGTTGTCACATCCAGAGAGGAGATCGTCCACCTGGCGAAAAGACTTGTGCTGCATCAGTGGGTGGCGACAGTACTGTTCATACTTCTCCCCAAGAGGATCTGGTGAGACGTATGGTCTGGGATGACAACAATATGTCTTCTTCTGTGAGTCGGCTCAGTGTCTTGGGCATGGAGTACTGGCGGGCAAACTCCAGGAGGGTCATGGGGTTGAAGTGAAGGGAGTCAGGTCGTCCCATGTAGTGGTCAACAATGGAGAGTGCTGTAGCATGCTGTCCCTCCTCCAGGTGGTCCTCAACAGCACGAGACCCATCAAGGCTGAGGATAATGAAGTCACGTGACGCCTTGAACATTGGTAGCTGCAGTAGCAGGTGGCAGGTCTCCTGGGCGGAATAGTATCTCTCTCCGACAGTGTTGATGAGGAGCTTCTAGACTGCCTTGAGAGAGGTGTTGCCTTCTCGGAGACCACGGACGATGGTGGTAAAGATCTCCTTGAATGATTGAGACCGTGGCTCACTCTTGGTGACATACTTCGTACAGTACTGTAGGACTCTCTGATGGGAAATGATGTACTGCATGTCAACGTTAGCACGCCACGCAGACAGCTGGACTGGGTTGAAGCTGTTGATTATTCCGTCATTCCTAGCTGTGAGGAGAGTTGGGTCATCCTCGGTGACAATGGTCGTGTGTGGCTGCAGAGGTTTGGGGTAGCCAAACCAGCACTCCTGTTTACCATGCTTGGTCCAGAGGCAGTAGGAGACAGAGCAGCGAGTGTGTCGTTGACAGGTAGCAAGTAGATGAGCTAGGTCCTAGTCAAAGTCTTGGATGTCCCCAATTTAAAATCAGGCCAATATAGCGCTGAACCTTTTGGTACCGCTCTTTTGTTGTCTCGTTGTGCGTGGTGGCAGAAAATGTGGTAACTGACAGACAGACAAACAGACAGACAGACGGACAAACTTACGGACTAACCCTCGCTGCGCATTCGCCGAGGGTTAATTACGCCGTTCTTGATCAGAGAGGGGAGTTAAGAGGTGACACCATCACAGGAGGTAAGATTGTGTAAGGTAAAGTCTGTTTGTGTTTTAGTCTGTGTCCAGACCCCTCACACTCATCACGTGGAAGAGCAGGGCCTGTTACCTGTTAGTTGGTAGAACACTTGTAGGATCAATGGCACTTCCTGGCACACAACAATTAGCAGGCACTTTGATATGAATTTAGTAGTGTTTGATTGTGCTACCCTAGCCATAGCGCAGACAATGCCCGTACCAATTTTCCACCCATTGCTGGCGAACGCAACTTGTTTGCACATGAAAATGGGCCCTAGTGTTTGTGGTTTTCCCCCTATATCCATTCTGTACCATAGTTTGGTACTCCTGGCTGAGTTGTAACACAATGCAAATGTACATACATTCTCAAAAGAGTCTCCTTGGCACATTTTAACTAAGAATTTTACTCCATTCCAGAAAGAGTCATTGTCATTCTCTGCAGGGAGCGACAGAGTTGAGATAGATGAGACACCAGAGATGTTGCTGCCATCAGGGAGTACAGCAGGGTTGACAGTGGAGATGAGTTGGTCAGCATGCCTGATGATGTCCTCTTTGAGCGTTTCACTTGTTTCACTGCCACCATCACGAAGCTGTTCTACATCTGGTGTATCAGGTAGCCAGGCTAGACCATGGACGTGAGGACTGCCTTGGTGCTGCCACTCAAACCGGAGCCAGTAGTCCGTGGCTCCTAGGACTCCAGTGTAGAAGGCCTTGACGAACTGAATGACTCTGTGGTAGAAGAACCAGTCTGCGAGGGCTGGGTTCTCGATGACTGCCTTGGCTCTGGCAGTCCTTGAGTCAGGGCTGTCAGGGCAGATGAGATGAGCAAGCTCTGGCCACTGGAGGTCTGCTGCACTGTGGGTGAAGAAGACTGTCGGCAGGCCCAGTGTGTCGACCATGGAGAGAAGACCACTCCGCTGATGTTGCCAGCACTGGTTGGTGCCACGCAGACTGGACGCGTAGTGGAGCACTCGACTGGAGAAGGCCTCTCCCTGTCTCCCCACCATGTCCTGCAGCTCGTCCATGGACAGCTGGCCATCTTCAGGGTGCTGCCTGATGTAGACTAGAACACGGTGCCGCATCTCGGTGTTGATAGCAAAGAAACGAAATCGTGGATGTTTGGCACATCGGCCATCGTCATACTGCATCAGGTGCTTGAAGTAGTTCCCAATGGTGACTGGCGCTGTCCAAGGAAGTCACCTGCTCCAGTGGGGAAAATGGTGGGGAATGCACAGGTGAAGTAGCCCTCGGTGGTGAATTCATTCAGTGGCATTCCTCTGATGGAGGGCCACATCAGAGGTGTGTGAGAGGAGGAGCTGGATTGACGCTGATCCACTGACTGCTGCACTGCCTCCTGCTCTGTCATTGAGGGGACAGCAATAGGTACAAATTAATGTGACAGATGGTTATCTGCTGTATCACTGGTAGTTGGGGTGGTAGGAATGTTAGGTGTAGAGATGTCTTGAGTATATTGAGTGGCAGAAAGAAGATGGGACACATTTCCATCTTCAGGTAGTTGAGTGTCAATAGTAATTGCGATGGAATGGTAGTAGTGGTTAGCCACTGCAGAGCTCTGTGAACAACTCTTTGCCTGACACGAAAGTCATGGTGAGTCTGATTGGCTCCTTCTTTCCTTGACAACATCCAGATCAGAAGGCAGCCTTGGCAGACTCTGGGAAAAGGAGGCGACATCCTGGGGAAGGTTTACAACATGCCATACTGGCCTTGAGGCAGTCTGTAGAGACACATGATGGGCATTACCACTGATATAAGCATATCTTCCACTTGGGTCAATCCCTACAATGAAATGGAAAAAGATAAAGGAGGTGGTTATTGTCTATTTTACAGATAATTCCGGTGGGACAGGACCAGGATGCATGTTGTTATGGGAACGTGCTTGTCTCTGGTGCAGCGTACACATTCAGTGCCAGCAGAGGTAATCTTCATAGTCTTGGTGGGAATCTCTCCATACAGGTAACACAGGTAGACATCTGCAACGCTGCCATCCCAGAGTGGAAGTTGCTCATCTTGGTTAAGAAGAGGCTGGGGGCAAGATATGTTCGGCCTGTGACGATCCCTGTCATGCTGACGCCTTGCTTCCGTTTGTTGTGGAGTTTCCAACGCAAAATGCTGCTGCTGGTTGATCCGACACTGACGGAGGCGGGTCTCTGTCTTCTCTGGAGTTTCCGACGCGATCCGCTGCTGCTGATTGATCTGAGCCTGGCACTCCGGTAAGTTCAGGACTGGGCCTTCCGTTTGTCGCGCGAGTACGCATACCGTGGTTTGAAATTACATAGTTG